CAAAGCTAAAGATTTCAAGACTAATACCAAAACCAAGACACATCAAAATGTCAACATAAGTCCAAGAATTATAAACTTCTCACAAGACCAAGGTCAATACTTTTGTTCTTTAAAGTCTTGTGCAATAATGCTCACGCATGCATGTATACTATTACGCCTTTAGTTAATGAATTACTATACCATTTATACATATAACTCTATTATAAAACGTAATAACACTTGAATAATTTAATTATATCATCATATATTGCGTAGTGCACTGTTGCAATCTACAAAAGATATTTTTAATAATAATAGAAAACTAACTTGAATTGTTAGAAAAAAAGTGTGCAAATAAAAAATGGTGTAAAACCATCACACAGTGAAACAAAGAATAGCACACATATAGCAGAGATACTGGGCAAGTAGCCACACAAAAAAAAAATTTACATATTCCATTTAAGTACTTTATGATCTTATAATGACACATACAACTTAACATGCCTTGTTAAGAAGTGTTATGCTGTACGCATACACTTCTTAACAAGGCATGATAATCATTATTTTGTGTACAAAATAATGATTTTACTTACCCATTAAACTATTTACATGAAAAAACTTTTTTCAAAAGGAATATTTAAACAGACTTGAAACAGTACATAGTGAAACTATGTTAAAGAAATTTTTTTTCCACTTCCCATTTTTAAAAATTTTTTTAGCAAATTTATTATTAAATATTAATAAATTTTTATTAAAATTTAATTATAAAAATTTAAATAATTTTATTTTATTAAATTTAATTATAAATTTTTTTTTTAATTTTGAGCATTCTATTTTACATTTTTATTTAATTTAAGTTACTTTTTATGTTTGTTTTACATTCAACTATTTTGTTTCAAACCAATAAATTTTTTCATCTTTACAAAAGTGCATAATGCTTATATGGTTATAGATAAACCATAATCAAGTCTGTAGGCAAAATTGATTTAGAGAATTATTTTAGTAAACTTTATAAAACAAATTTATGAAAAGATGATTTTATTTTAGTTTTGAAATTTTTTTTTAACAAAAGTCTTTTCAAAAATATTACCTCTTTAGATTGATGATACAATGAACGAATGAATAGAAATAGAAAACTAACTTATGAGCAGTAGAAGGAGATTTTGTTAAAGCCAAAATGTTAAAAAAAAATTGTTGATACAATGAACGAATGAATAGAAATAGAAAACTAACTTATGAGCAGTAGAAGGAGATTTTGTTAAAGCCAAAATGTTAAAAAAAAATTGTTAATAGCACTTCCTAACAGTGATTTTGTTTCGCAATAAAAATAGGGATTTCTTATCTCACCTGCTGAATTGAAAAATGACATATTAGTTAAAGAAATAAAAAAACAAATTTCTCTTAAGGGTATAAATTTTCATTTATTGAAAAAAAAAATTTTTTTTGTTTTTGACTATCTATAATGTTTCATTCATGTTTAAAACTTTTGATAATAGTTTTGCGTGTTTGCTAAACTTTCTGGTCTAATCTATTCTTAGCTTTTGTTTTTTTCATTTACTAGTTTAAAATTTGACAAATCAATAAGCGAAGGAAGTGCATAAAAGTAGTGGGCAATTTTTGTTACATTTGTGGTGAAATATTATTTTTCTCACAGAAAAGAACTATGATACCTCTTTCAAAAACTGCTTACCAGCATTACTTCAATATTAAGGTAGGGGACCAGGATATGTCATGACCTACACATATATGCTGTAGCTATTGTTCCATTACAAAACGAGAATGGTTGAAAAATAAAAAAAGATCTTTGTTTTTGCTGTTCCTATAGTGTGGAGGGAACCTAAAATCCATTCAGATGACTGCTATTTCTGCTTGACCCCACCCATTAAAGTAGGTTTGTCAATAAAGAAACTAGGAACAGTTAAATATCCGAATCTTCCATCTGATATTCGACCTATTCCACATTTGGATAGTTAACCAGTTCCTACTCAACCACAAAGTTGTGAGTTAGAAGCAGAAAATGAAGGCAGAAACAAAGTAGAAATAGAAGAAAAAGAAGAAAACAAGCCTTCCACATCAAATGATCCTGATTTTGTGTTAATAGATGATGTGCCTTACAGATTGAGTAAAGCAGAATTAAGTGATCTTGTTCAAGATCTGGACTTGTCATAGGAAAAGACAGAACTTCTAGGGTCAAGACTAAAGCAGTGTAATTTTCTCCAATTTGATGTCAAGGTTTCACATTACAGAAAACGGCAGCAGAATGGCAGCAGAACGGCAGCAGCAACTTTCTTTTTTTGAGAAGAATAAAAATCTTGTTGTTTTCATTGATGTCTTTTAATGTATTGGCTTAATTTGAACTATGATCCAACTGAATAGAGATTATTGATAGACTCATCTAAGCTAAGCTTGAAAGTTGTATCACTGCATAATGGAAACTGTCTTCCTTCTGTTCCTATTGCCTATTCAGTTCACTTAAAAAAGAGACTTAAACAAACATGAAATTTCTTGTCAACTCAATTAACTACAATGAACACAAATGGTAAATTTGTGGCGATCTAAAAGTCATTGCTGTACTTTTAGGAATGGTATACTAAATACTGCTGCTTTTTATGTATGTGGGACAGAGAGCAAGAAGTTCACATTAGATAAAAGAAGACTGGCCTGCAAGAAATCTAAACACAGATGAAAAAAATGTTATTGCTGAACCACTTGAGGATCCAAAAGATATTTTTCTTCCACCATTACATAAAATTACAAAAGAGATGATAACTACATTCAATTGGTAACAGTACTTCTGCAAAAATACCATCAACTTGGATGTAATATGTCCCTCAAGATTCATTTCCTCTACACATACATTTCCTCTACAAGATACATTTCCACTACTAGAATTCTTCAAAAGGAAACCAAAAAGATCTTGATCTTGTGACAACACCCAATCTATTAGCTTGATAATCCAATTATCTTTTCTTTGTTTAAAACTGTTAGAATATTTCTTTGTTTAAAACTGTTAGAACATATCTGTGATAAAAAAAAACAAATGTACTTTAAATACTATTGGAGTATGTAAATTATATGTCATATTGCTCTGTTGGTAAATTATATGTCATATTGCTCTGTTGGGAAATTATATGTCATATTGCTCTGTTGGTAAATTATGTCATATTGCTCTGTTGGTAAATTATATGTCATATTGCTCTGTTGGTAAATTATGTCATATTGCTCTGTTGGTAAATTATATGTCATATTGCTCTGTTGGTAAATTATATGTCATATTGCTCTGTTGGTAAATTATATGTCATATTGCTCTGTTGGGAAATTATATGTCATACTGCTCTGTTGGTAAATTATATGTCATGTTGCTCTGTTGGGAAATTATATGTCATATTGCTCTGTTGGGAATTATATGTCATATTGCTCTGTTGGGAAATTATATGTCATATTGCTCTGTTGGTAAATTATATGTCATATTGCTCTGTTGGTAAATTATATGTCATATTGCTCTGTTGGTAAATTATATGTCATGTTGCTCTGTTGGGAAATTATATGTCATATTGCTCTGTTGGTAAGTTATATGTCATATTGCTCTGTTGGTAAATTATATGTCGTGTTGCTCTGTTGGGAAATTATATGTCATATTGCTCTGTTGGGAAATTATGTCATATTGCTCTGTTGGTAAATTATATGTCATATTGCTCTGTTGGTAAATTATATGTGATATTGCTCTGTTGGTAAATTATATGTCATATTGCTCTGTTGGTAAATTATGTCATATTGCTCTGTTGGGAAATTATATGTCATATTGCTCTGTTGGTAAATTACATGTCATGTTGCTCTGTTGGGAAATTATATGTCATATTGCTCTGTTGGGAAATTATATGTCATATTGCTCTGTTGGTAAATTATATGTCATGTTGCTCTGTTGGGAAATTATATGTCATGTTGTCTGATCTCTGTTGGGAACTGAAATAAAAAAATTATAACTGAAATAAAAAAATTGTATATCTTAAAAACTAGAGCTAATAAAAAATTTTTGTTGTCATTTTCCTTTTTTTCTCAGCTTGGTATAATTTAAATAAAATTGCTTAAGATACAAAAAAATATATAGCATTTTTTGTTGCCCAGTGTAGTTTTTTATTATCAATTTTTTTTTTGACCGTTAAGAAACTTATCCATAAACACTCATTAAAAAAAAACTCAATTGTGATTATACAAATTTTAATATGTTTGTGAATGCAAACATATTAAAATTTGTATAATTTAAAGATATTTAGACTTAAAATGATTTTTAATATGGTTTCAAATTAAATTTAAAATTAGAAAGCGGTACTTTAAAATATGCAACTGACATAATTTAACATTTAACGATATAAATATGTGTATTGAGTAAAGCTACATTTACTTGTGTTACCCTATTCCTTTACATAACAAAACCTCATAACAAGACCTGCAACTATGTATCACCTGATTCTACATTTTATATTTTGACAATTTAACGAATGATATGTGTAAAA